TGTATCCAAGCAATTATTACAAACAGAATACCCACCCTCATGCTAAAACAAAACTGAAACTTTTTTATTTTCTTCTGACAATCGCACCTCCTAAAGGAAGAAATGCATCTTGTTCTTGCATTGGAGAGTTCAGTTTGTAACCTAGGACTTACTTGTCCTCAGTGCACAGAAATTAGATCAATCTGATACCATATATATATATATATTAGAAATGATTTGGAAAACATTTGAACACCTTGGCTTAAAATATTTTATTAATCATGTTAAAATAAAACGTTCCATAATCAATCTTTTCTTTTCTTTTTTCAATTTTTCCAATTTTTCGGGAAAAAACAAAAAGGCTTCCGGGAAAAAAATGATTTTTTCCCGAATTTTTCAGGTTTTTTCCCGGGCCTTCACATCTCTAGGGACAACGCTCTGGTTTTGGGACAAAACTCTATGCCTACATTGTTGCATTCGTTTCTGGCTTCTTCCCGCTCCCGCTCCCCCGTCCGCTCATCCAACGGCAACCCCAGCATCGACCCATTTTCAGTGCTCTGGATAATCTACGTGCATTTGTGTGAAAAGAGGCAGATGTAGCAAATAAAGAGGGAATGGGTTAAACACAGGCATGCCCCGGTATTGCTGATATCACTAACTGACTTCCCCTCCTCCTCCCCTGTGAATGTCAAAGGTCCCCCTGGAACTGGACACCAGAGGCTTCATGCAGCCGAAAAAGCCCATTGTGCTGAAGATGGTCCCCAGAGTCCGCGCCGAACCGGAGGAATAGATGAATCAGAAGCGCCTCAGATGCTGCTGCCACCAGCTCCCAATTCCATGACTCTTGGCCCTCGCCTCACGTGGGAGTCGTAGCGGAGCTGAAACAGAAGAAGTTGCAGATTTACCCCATCAAGATCTGGCTCTGCTTACTGCGCCGGACTTTCTAGACTTTTTATTTTTGCCCGGATGGTCTCTTTCAGCACCCAAGAGCCAGCGTGGTGTAGTGGTTAAGAGCGGTGGGCTCCAATCTCCTCCACATGAAGCCTGCTGGGTGACCATGGGCCAGTCACTGTTCTCTCGGGACTCTCTCAGCTCCACCTTCCTCACAAGGGGCTTGTTTGGGGGAGAGGAAGGAAAATGTGATTCGTCCTCTTCCTCTTCCTCCTCCCCTTCTTCCAGTTGAAGCCTTTCCAGATATTACAAAGGCTCTTAATTTACATCTTTCAATTTTCTACAAGTTATGGGCCTGTCCTTTTATTAAATGTTATCCATGTGGGGTGGGTGGGGGAGCATACCATATCTTCTTCTGAGTTATGTGAACTGCACAGAGACGACGATTTTGGTGTTCCGGTGGAGTTTTAACTGGGACTACTTGTAGCTCACACGTCCAAATCTTTAATGTGTGAGCCAAGAATGTATGGCTGTTGTACTCAGCTGTTGTAGAGTTCCCAGTATGGGAATGTATGGCTGTTGTACTCAGCTGTTGTAGAGTTCCCAGTTCCCAAAAAGCTTTCCCCAGTGCAAAGAGAAGCATCACGGCTGGTTATTCAGTTGATTCTATACATGTTTGTGTGAAAAATTATCGAGATTTCGTTGAACACTCTGCCCTGGGTCTCTAACAAGAACAGGGTCTTGTATGTGGTGGCACCTCCATCTGGCAACATCCACTCCAGGCTGATATCCCACGTGGCAGCGCTACCGTATACCAGGCTAAAACTTGGCATTACTCGGAAACGTTTAGAAAGACCCGATTCATTTTGCTGGCCCTGTGCCGATTCTTAGTCCTGCCGTTTTATGCCGCGTGTGGATTTTAAAATTGCCTCTCTGATGTTGTGCTTTCGCAGACTGCCTTGGTGAAAGGCAGGATATTAAAATAAATAAATAATTTTTGATTAAACGTTTTGCAACCGTTCGGTTGACTGAATGCACGGGGGGAGCCTTGGAAGCGTGCTCTCCTCAGTCTTCGAATCCGAGCACCTAAAATGCGTAAAGCATCGGTTCCATCTCTTCTGAAAAGCCAGCGGCCTCTGCAAGAGCCCGGCGACCGAAGTCCATCTTAGAAGTTCATGAATCTTGGCAGGCCACGGGGATGCAACTGAAAGCGATACGATGCAGTGGGGAAAGTTACGGAAACCCAGAAGTAGGAGCAGAGTTGCTTATCTGGAGACGAGGAAGGGTTTGTTTTCCAGTCTTTTAATGATTGATTAATTTTTATTTCATTCCCATTTATTAATCGCCTGTCCCTACAACTCTGGAGCTCTAGGCGATGTACAGAGTTCTGTTTTTGTTTTTGTTTTTAAAAAAATATTTTATGAAAGCATAAAAGCATAATAAAAGTGTCCCGCAGCCAGTGTTCCCTCTAAGCTGAGTGAGTGTGAGCTAGCTCGCAGCTTTTTAGCCTCCAGCTCACAGTTTTTTGTCTCAGCTCAGGAAAGAGGGCTCCAGAGAAAACTCATTCATGCAGTCACCAAATTGCTCGCTCACAGCTTTAATGCCAGCGGCTCACAACGTAGATTTTTTTACTCACAAGACTCCACAGCTTAGATGGAGCATTGCAGCATACAGTAATTGAAAGCAAGTGGCGAAATTTTGTCTCTCCCTCCCATATCTGTTCTGTGAGTGCTTCATGTGTTCTGGTCACCACACCTTACAAAGGATATTATAGCTTTGGGAAAAGTGCAGAAAAGGGCAACTCGAATGATAAAAGGGTTGGAACACTTTCCCTATGAGGAAAGGTTAAGGCGCTTAGGGCTCTTTAGCTTGGAGAAACGACAACTGAGGGGTGACATGATTGAGGTTTATAAGATTATGCATGGGAAAGAGCAGGTAGAGAAAGAGGTACTTTTCTCCCTTTCTCACAAGACAAGAACTCGTGGGCACTCCATGAAATTGCTGAGCGGTCGGGTTAGAACGGATAAAAGGAAGTCCTTCTTCACCCAGAGAGTGATTCACACATGGAATTCACTGCCACAGGAAGTGGTGGCGGCTACAAGCATGGACGGCTTCAAAAGGGAATTAGATAAGCATATGGAGCAGAGGTCCATCAGTGGCTATTAGCCACAAGGTATAGATAGGGGCTCTGGGGCAAGGGATGCTCTGTCTTCTTGGTGCTTAGGGGGGGTCAACAGTGGGAGGGCTTCTAATGTCCTGGCCCCACTGGTGGACCTCCTGAGGGCACCTGGTATTTCTGGCCACTGTGTGACCCAGAGTGTTGGACTGGATGGGCCACTGGCCTGATCCAACATTGGCGTCTCTTATGTTCTTATGTATATGTTCATGGGGGGAGTAAGTTCTCTAAGGAATAAGGGTCCAGGTCGGGTCATGATGTTTACCCATCGCCGTCCTCAACCGAATGCCTGGCGGAACATCTCTGCCTTACAGGCCCTGCGGAATTGCATAAGACCCCACAGGGCCCAGATGTTGTTTGGCAGAGATTTCTGCCAGGTCGGGGCCAGGACCAAAAAGGCTCCGGGCATGGTTGAGGACAGGCAGATCTCTCAAGGGCCAGGGATCACCAGCAAGTTGTTCCGTGGAGACCGTAATGCTCTCCCGGGGGGGTATCCCCTGATCTCTTCTAGCGGCGACCTGGGGTCATTTCCTGCAGGAGCGCACAGGAGCGGAGCTCCGGCAGTAAAGAGCCCAGGGGGCGGGTACATGCAACAAGCCCCGCCCCCTGTGCCCAGCAGCCCAGGGCCACGAGGCATAAGAAGCAGCCAGGTAAATTGTAGAGACCCCACCCTCGCCTGCACCGAGGTGCAGAGCCTGAGGAAGGCCTCCGGAGCCCTGCCGCCCACCTTTCCCAGCACCTGGCAGGGGTGGGGTGGTGACGGCGGGGGGGCATGAGGGTGGCGGGGCCTTGATGGGGATTGAGGGAGCTGTGGGGGGCTGGTGGGGGCTTGATCGGGGGGGGGAGAGCCCCCCCCTCCTCATCT